AGAAAGAAAGAAAGAAAGAAAGAAAGAAAGAAAAGAATAACTCGAGACTGCACAGCTAGGCAGTTTCCAAACCCACACTGTACTGATGGCCCCAGGTAGAGACCAGAGTTATTGGTTGATGGTTTGATGGGCTGTGGATATTCTGGCAGTAGAGGCAAGAGAAATTTAATGCAGCTCACTGGCTTATCCAGCTCAGGGAACCTAAGGCTGGGCCTTGTCATGTTCCAATCCAGGATGGAAGGACTCCACAAACCCGGCAGGGCTGACTCCCAGACTCGCTCAGCTTTTGAACCTCTCTCTCTCCAAGCCTGGCCATGGTTCCTAACTATAACCATGGGACTGCTCCCTGCCAGTGCCCATGAGGACTTTAAGCAGACAGGACAAAGTGACTCCCACACTCCCTCCTGTCCCACAGTCCTTCAGCATTTGAGGGTTTAAAGCAGAGGTCTGGGACAGGGAAACCCTGGCGCCCTGGGCGCCAGCCTCCAGGCAGAATTCCGAGGAAAGTTACCCCCACCCGCCAGCCTCCACCCCAGCTTTCTCCAGTTAATTGAGATAATGACCTAACTCCCAGGGCCAGGGCCGCTTCTAGCTTGAAAGGGGCTTTGAGAAACTGGGATAAAAGGAACCAGGCTAGTATAAAGCACAGAGCAAGTTGTCCTGGGAGGGAGGCTGGCCTTCCCTAGCCCCCCTGCTGAGTCACTTCCTCTCTCTTAGCTGCGTTTCACCTCTGCAGTCCACACACACCAACTCTCCCTTCAAGGCTGTGATGGGGTCATCCTTGAAATTCTGTAGTGCACCGGCCAACATCAATGTCCTGAGTTCCCAACACCGGAGGGTGGGAGGCACAACTGGCCTTGATGCAGGCAGGGACAGTATTGCATCCCCAGCTTCATGATGTGCTCCTCTGGACAGTGACAGCTCAGAAGTCAGGATCCTTTGCTATGTTTTCTGTTTCTTTTTTGTTTTTCAAGACAGGGTTGCTCTGTGTAGTTCTGGCTGTCCTGGAACTCGCTCTGTAGACCAGGCTGGCCTCGAACTCACAGAGATCCACCTGCCTCTACCTCCTGAGAGCTGGGATTAAAGGCGTGTGCCACAGCCACCCAGCTCCTTTGTTACTTTTTAAGAAGCAGAGGAGAGCAATACAGAGGTGAGGAGACCTCTCAAGGTCACAGAGAACATCTGAGGAGCAAACTTAAGCCTTCCAACTCCCTGCCTGGGCAGCCAGATGACTTGACCATTTAAATGTGATACTTTGTGCGGTGGTAGCAGCAGAGGCGTGGTGGTCATGACCTTCAAGCTATTTCTTTTTTTTTAAATTAAATTTATTTTATATGCATTGGTGTGAAGAGATCAGATGTCCTGGAACCGGAGTCGCAGACAGTTGTGAGCTGCCATTCAGGTGCTGGGAATTGAACCTGAGTCCTGAGCCATCTCTCCAGGCTGTTCACTGCCTCTGAGGATCACTAGGCATTTTGGGAGGTTGAAGATGGAAATGAGGTCTTCCAGAAGGTGGACAGGGGGCAGCTACCAAGGACAAGACAGAGCAGGCTGGCCTCTACCCACAGACTAGAATCAGTACACCCAAACCATGCTCCTTGGGTTATCTTGATCTGAGGTGGCCCCAGATCTCCCACCTCACGAGGGTTCCCATTCAACATTCAGACATGAGACAGTGCCTGCTTTGGGACAAAATTGAGGCTGTGGACAAAAAAGCCTCGGTCCCTGCCCTCAGTAGAGAGGAACCATTGTTCATTTTGTGGCTGACCACAGTGTGGACAGTCAGGACAGGCAGCAAGCCTGTGGGGCTGGAGGAGCCCGTGGGGGAGAGAATAGGAGCTGTGGCGGGGACTGGCTGTTCAAAGACTGCTCACTTGTACTTTGGAATTGAGACCCTCTCGGTGTTTTTTAGATTATTATTGTATTCGTGTGTGCGCGCGTGCGTGCGTGCGTGCGTGCGTGCGTGCGTGCGTGTGTGTGTGTGTGTGTGTGTGTGTGTGTGTGTGTGCATACCATGACAAACATGTGAAGGTCACAGGACAACTTGTGAGAATTTGTTCTTTCTTTCCACCGTGGGTCCCGGGATCAAACTCAGGTCCTTAGGCTTGGTGGTAAGCACCCGCCCCCCGACAAAGTCATCTCTCTGGGTCTCCCCTTTCTGATGTCAAGGCAGCTGTCCCTTAAGCTGTTAAGTTCAAGGCTTACCATGTCATTCCCTAAAGTAGCTAGCAGCCTTAGCCAGCCTCTTCCCACTAAAAGCTCCTTTATCCCTACAAACCCACAACTTGGGGACCACCAGTAGGTGGAGTGAACACAAATTCACAGTCTTTGGAGCATCGGAGGATTCCTTCGTCGCGGTACTCCCAAATCCATGCTTATTAGAAAGCAGTGGAGGAGCTGGTGTGAGCCATAAAGAGCCTGCCCCCAGCAGGGGTGGTCAAAACCTCAGAACCGTAGGCAAGAGATGATGTAACATCTTTACCATGGGGATGAGGCTAGCTGCCCAACTGTTTGAGGTGGCTTAGGTAGAGTCTGGCCTGGAGGCAGGGGGCTCACTGTGATGACCTCTGGGGTTGGCTTTACGTTTGGGCAGAACTGAAGGGTACAAAGAGCGCACCAAAGTAGAGGTGTGAGTGCCGCCCCATGGGGTTGTTTTTCCTATTTTTCTTGGCACTGGCATGGGGGGAGGGGGCTCCCTCCTCCTGGCACTGGTCCTTGCTGGGGCGCCCGGCTCCAGCTTGTTAGGTTTAACTGGAGCAATTTCCTTTGAACTCAGCTTGAATTAGCATCACCATGGTGATGGATCAGGGTTTTCACAAGTCGACCTGGTCTTCACCTCTTAAGCAATTAGTCCGGAGAAGAAAAGGAGGATGGGGGGGGGGGGTGTAAAAAAAAGGTAGGGGGAGAAAACGGAGGGGAAGAAAAAGAGGGGGATGTAGTGAGTAAAAGGTAGGGGGAGAAAACGAGGAGGGTGAAATGGCAGGGGAGGGGAACAGTCAGAAAAGCCATGGGGTAGAGGACTTTGAAAAACAGAGGTTGGAATGTGAGAAGCCTCAGGAGCAAGGGAAGATGGGGAGGGAGAAAGAGAAGGCAAGAAGAGTGCTCCACCTGACCCTGCCTGCTGAGTGCTCCACCTGACCCTGCCTGCTGAATGAATGCTCCACCTGACCCTGCCTGCTGAGTGCTCCACCTGACCCTGCCTGCTGAATGCTCCACCTGACCCTGCCTGCTGAGTGCTCCACCTGACCCTGCCTGCTGAGTGCTCCACCTGACCCTGCCTGCTGAATGAATGCTCCACCTGACCCTGCCTGCTGAATGCTAGGTGTTCTTCAGCCAAGACTAACTGGGCTTTTACCTTCCCAGCCCTTCCAATGGCCCCATCTGTTGGGAGAAGTGAGAAGAGCAAGAGAGAATGAGATACTCTGTCTATTAGGAAAAAAGCACTGTTTCTATTTCTACAAAAAAAAAAAAAAAAGACATTGGGACTCTTATTTTAAATTTTTTTAATATTTATTTATTATGTCTACAATGTTCTGCCTGCATCTTTGTCTGAGCACCAGAAGAGGGCACCAGATCTCATCATAGATTGCTAGCCACCATGTGATTGTTGGAAATTGAACTCAGGACCTCTGGGAGAGCACTCCTGGGGTTTGGGGGCAGGGGGGAGATATGGCAGGGTGTCTGCTAGTGATCAAACCCAGAACTATGCACGTGCCGAGTAAGTGTCCTACCATCGAGCTGGTGTTCTACTATGGAGACAGAGTCTCAGGGTGGCGCTCAGACTGGCCTGGACGTGTCATTATCCTACCTCAGTCTCTCAAGGGCTGTGGTTATGGGCACATGCTACCACATCTGGCTGCTACTGCTTTTTGTGTGTAGATTTTGTATTCTGAACTTTACTGTCTTCTCTTATTACTTAAAACAGTTCTTCTGAGCCGGGCCTGGTGCCTTTAATCCCAGAACTTGGAAAGCAGAGGCCTGCCTGTGGATCTCTGTCAGTTCAAGGTCAGCCTGGTCTACAGAGTAAGTTCCAGGACAACCCTGTCTTGAAAAACAAGAAACAAAACAAAACTCTCCTGTAAATCTGGGGCTCCCTATATGTGAGGCAATGCCATCAACAGTGGCCATTCCCTTCTTCCTTTCCTACTTGAAGGCCTTTTATTTCTGTCTCTTGCCCACCACTCAGGCTGCACCCTTTCCTTCTGCAAGAAGCGCTAAGTAAGAGGGAACAGGGCCGGGATCCTGGGAAGGAGGAAGTGTCTCGAACCTCTCTACACTTGTCCTATCACCTCAGGCAAGCCATCTGCCTCCATAAAATATGCCAGAGCTGGCTTTTTCCCCTCAGGTTGCCGGAGACAGGCCTCTGTGAGGTGACTGCTTGCCTGGTATAGCCTCTCTCTCTCCCCTGGGAGCTTCAAGAAGGTAGCAACATCACCATGGAATTCCCCAGACACTAGCGCAGTGTGCCGAGTGTGTGGTGTGGGCAATACTGCAGTATTTTAGAGGCGAATGAATGAATGAACGTGCTTATTTCCCCAACTAAAAGCAGACAAAGAGGGCTAGAAAACGGGAATCTACCAGAATTTGATGCAAGGATCTCTCTGTTTTAAGACCTAGTCCTCTGAGACTGGGGCTCACATACAGACTTTTCTCAGCTTTTGGTGAATGCCCTCCAATTAGGGATCAGCAAAGCTTTGCATTCTGGTCTATGTGTGGGGCGGGGGAGTGTAATGAGAGAGCCTGTCTGCCTCATCTGGTTGTGAGGATTAGATAAGCTCAGGCCTGCAAAGACTTAGCACATCCCAGAGAACAAGAGTTACTCTGCAGTAGTTATTACTACCCACATTCCCTATCCGGTCTTGGTTTTCCCACACATAAAATGGGAGCGAAGGATCTAGGAAGATGTCTGGCTCAACCAGTAAAGTGATTTCCATACGAGCAGGAAGTCCTGATTTGATCCCCAGATCCTGGGTAAAAGGGTGGGTGCAAACAGTGTGTACCTGTGATCCTGGGGCTGGGGAAGTGGAGACGGGGATGTTGGGAGCATCTAGCTTCATCAGCGAACTCCAGATTCAAGGAAAGACCCTGTCTCAGAAAAATAAGGTAGGAGTGACTGAGGGAAATATTCAACGTCGGCTTTTTATCTGTATGTGCAAGTGCGTACACTCATGTACACACACATATACAAGTGCGTACACACACACATGCACATACACATATACAAGTGCGTACTCTCTCACACACACACACATATACATGTGTACACATGAACCCATACACACACACACACACACACACACACACACACACACACACACACATCTGGCCAGACGTGGTGGTACAGGCCTATAATCCCAGCTTCTCTGGAAGCTAAGGCAGGGGCATCACAAGTTCAATACCTCCTGGGAAACAGAACGAGTTCAAGTCCAGTGTAAAGAACTTGGTGAGACTTGTCTAGCATGTAGAAGAAAATAAACGGATGCAAAACTCCTTCTGGGCACCCCCATTTTACTCACTTGTTCATTTAGTTTCAGTACCCAGGATTGAACCCAGGGCCTCAGGCATGTCAGGCCTGTCCTCCACCACTGAGCTACATCCTTGGCTTTCTTCTATTTTTTATTTATTTATTTTTATATTGGGACAGGTTCAGCTTGCTCAGGCTGGATTTTCCTTCTCTCTCTGGCTCCTGTCCCATGTTCCCCTCAGTCCCATAACTACTTTTCCCAGCCCTTGTCCCTGTACCTGCCTTTGACCTCTTCCTCTGTCTCTCCCTCCCTCTCCCTCCTCAGCTACTCGGCTGCTCGTTATGAAAAAGAAATCTTTCTAAATACGCCAAAAATGCACTCATCCCCCAAGGACCCTGCTCCAGCACAAAGGGCTAGTTCTTTCCGACTGCTCCATGCAGCTCCTCCTTGCCCACTGCCTTTGAATCGTGGCCTCATTCGCATGACTGGAAGGGCTAACGGGACATTTTCCCGTGTGGCTGGGTGGGAGGGTGAGCTGGGGTGGGTGAGCTGGATGGGAGGGTAGAAACAAGCAACTTAGGGATCTTCCCCAAATTTTGGCTTGTCCACAAGAGGAAAAACAAACTGCTTGTGCTAATTCCTTAGCACCTAAAGAACTCTATCAGGTATGTGGGAAAGATTCAGACTCAAAATCAGAAAAGCTGTAGAGATCAGAGGGGCAGCCACCAAGCACAAGGATGGGTCTCAAAAACATAAAAAGTGCTGGGGATATAGTTCAGTTGGTAATGTTTCCTTAGCATCCTTGAGGCCCCGAGTTCAATCCCCAGTACCAAATAAATGATCATGGTGGCAAAAGCCTGTAATCCTAGCACTCGGGAGGATCAGAAGTTCAAGATCAGTGTTGACTATATAGCAAGTTCAAGGCCCGTCTGAGACAAATGAGATCCTGTCTAAGTAAAATAAAGGAACATAGCAATTTGGCCTCCTTCCTAAAATGGCTTGGGATATCTCTTGGACAGAGCTGGTTCTCTGAGAGACTCCCTGGATGAGAGCACCAAAGATTTTTGAGGGAGCAGGAGGCAATTTACGATGGGAACAGGCAGGGTTTCTCATAAATATACATACACACTACCCACCCCCACTCACTTTTGCCCTGTGCCCTCTGGCTGAGTTCCTGGTCCAGGAGCACTGACCTAGTACACATGAAGCTCCCCCTCAGATGACCTTGTTCCAGCTGGGTCCAGAAGAAAACATCCCTCTGATGCACTCAGGGCTGGGGGGTTGGGGGCATGGAACAGGGACAAAGGGGAGATCCCATGGCCTTGCAGTTCCAGGCACACACAGTCCAGCCTTTCCACAAAGGTTGAAGAACACAACCCGGGCTCTGCCTCTCCAGCTATGGACAGGCCCAGGGAGAAAAAGATACTGGGGCTAGGCCTTGGCCTCAGCATTTACCTGCCCTCACGGCTTCATGTGCTCCATCAACCAATCTCTTTCCTGAGTTTTCAAGAACCCCAGCTCCATGCCCCACCCTGCAGCAGCTGGGCCCCTGGAACTCTGTGGTGTTTCCGAGTTAATCAAAAACTCCTGTACTTTGCTCTTGAACTGAGGCCATCATTCCTTTGTCCTGGGGCAGTGAGGTCAGCTAGCTTTTCCTCAGCCCACATTTGCTTTCAGGGGAGCAAAGGGGGAAAGCAAGGGAAGAAAAGGGAATTAACATCTGCCAGGGGACTTGATGGCTGGGTGTTCCACAGACACTGGCTTCTAAGCTGTCCCACTGAGGAGTCTCCATTTTGCATTTAGGAGACCAAGGTGCCAGGCTTTGAAGAAATATGTTTCTGGTCTCACATGCAGGAACTCAGAGATAAGCGCTGAAGTTCAGGGTTCGGGATGATAGCTCAGTAGAGTGCTTGCCTGACATGCACAAAGCTCTGGGTTCAATACCCAGCACACCATAAAATTGGGTGTGGTGGCCCGTAACTGCAATCAGCACTTGGGAACTGGAGGCAAGAGAATCAGAAGTTCAAGGTCATCCTCTTACTACATAGAGAGTCCGAGGCTAGCCTGATCTACGTGAAACCCTGTCTCAAAACAAAACAAAAAGCTCAACAAAAGCCAGTGAGCTGGTTCAGTGAGTAAAGGTGCTTGCCACCAAGCCTGATGACCTAAGTTCAGTCCCTGGAACCCATATGGTTTTTGTAAGCTGTCTTCTGATCTCCATATGTGGGCTGTGGCTTTTACACACACACACACACACACACACACACACACACACACACACACACACACACAATATAACTTTTTAAAAATTTAAGCCAGCTAAAAATAAAGGTTTTGAGGAGCTGGGAGAAATTGTCCAGTGGTTAAGAGCACTGGCTGGGCCCACATAAGGCTCCCAACCCACTGTAACTCCAGTCCCAGGGAATCCAGTAACATTTTCTGGCCTTCACAGGCCTCCACAGACACCAGGCACACACATGATGTTCAGACAGGCATGCAGGCAAAGCCCCCATATACATGAAACAAAAAACTAAAATAAAAAGCTTTGAGGTTTCCAGTGGAATTTAAAGGTGTTCCTAGCCCATGGTTGGGTTAGAAGATTCCAAAATTATCCATCGACTATAAACAGAGAAGCTTCAGGGGTCCCGCCTGGAAAGGCTGTGGGATACAGGGACTGCAGGGCCCTCGGCTCTTTGCCAGAGGGAACACCCCAGGAGGGCTGGAAAGGCTTGAGAGAGCAGAGCTTCTTTGACCTTCAAGCCTCCACTGAGACCGGCCTGTCCATGGAGGAGGAGGGGCGTTGAAGAGGGGGCTCAAAACCGCCCTGGGGCCCTAGAGAATCCTGGTGCGGACTGGGGAGAGAAAAGTCTGGTATGTACTGCTGGAGTAGCCAAGGAACTCAGCCCCGTATGGGCCAAGCTGGGTCTTCAAACGGATGCCCAGCAGAGCAAAGTGAGTGTAGCTCGGTCCCTGGCTTCCCTTGGAGTGTGGCTCCAACACCGGCCTCCCTTGGCCTCTCAGCAATTCAATGACACTTATCCCTCCCTCTTCTCTCCCCCTTTTTGCTGCCTCTACCACCCCCTCCCCCATCTTCCCTAAAGAACAAATTCCTAGCCTGACCAAGAAGGTTAGTTGGAATCTGGGAGGCCCAGGGCTGAGGAAGAAGGGGCCCAAAGACTGAGGGGGGTAGAAGGAGGCTTCACAGTGGTGACCGAGGGAGTCAACGCATCCTTGGCGGTGGGAAGGATAAGAATGACCAGATGAATGGCCTTTTGGAAAGATGTTGGGTGCAGATCATGAGTGGCATTCCTCAAGTGCCCTGTCCATCCCTGCCCTACAGAGGGGCACATGGTAGCATTAAGGGGTTGACTCTGTTAGGGAAAGAACATGCTAGGCAAGAACGGGAATACTCCCAGGCTAGAAGTACCCAAGTCTCCCAGGGGAGGGCAGGCCTTTCCTGAGACTGAGCGGCCAGGCCCTGACTAGTTTGGGGTGGGTTTCTGTGGGTGGCTGGAAGTGAATCAGACCTTCTTGTGTGCTGCATGTTTGTGCGTGGGTGTGCTGAGTCAGGATGTGTTGTCCCACGTGTCCCAGGCTGGACCTGTTCCTTGTGGATGACTGGCTCGAAGGTGATGCCCCTGAATACCACAAGGGGTCCCTCGAGCTGGGGCAACATGAATAAATGTGCTATTGGAATACAGGGATGTCCTTGTATTCATCCTTCTGAAACCAAGTGTGTGCAAGACTCTGTCTGCGAGTGTGAATGGGTGCAAACAGGGACAGTGAGGAGCTATCTATAGAAACGGGACCCGGCTGATAGGACAATCCCACAGAGACAGGAAAACACATTTGGGGGGGAGAGGTAGGTTCCATGTGCTGCTCCAAATTCCCACACACTCCAGTTCCTGGGTTTCCAGCTGTCCCCGCTAAACTGTGCACAGATGTGTGCCTCTCTGCTATAGCCATAAACAGACCTCCCAGGATTTTTCCAAAGGAAATGTGGAAATATTTTGGTGTCTGATCTGGGTGGTAGGAAAGAGTGGGGATGGGGCTTGAGAACGATGCCTCCAACCTGAGAGAGCTGAGGAAACAAGGATGCAATGGCGTCTCCCAAGAACCAGGACAGAGGAGGCTCTGATGGCTTCCAGCTCCACTACCTCACTGGGGCCCCAACCAGCCTGGAGAAAAGACCCAGCTGAGAGGGATTACCCCCATCCCCACCCCCACCCTGAACAAACCCAGGATGGACATGTTGCTCTGCTGTCTTTCCCTGTTCTCCACAGCATGGGTTGGGAGGCATCAGGCTCTGGGGTGCACCCCTGAACCATCACCCCCACACACACACACACTGCACACACCACCAAGCTCACCTGCCACACACTCATTCTTTCTCATCTTTCATCCCAGTTCAGAACAGTCTTAGCCGCCACATGCATGCTCCCAGACATCTCCAGCTTCTTATTATTGCCACATAGGTTGTTCATGCTCATAAACCACACAAGTTGCAGCTAGAAGGATGGCTCTGTGGGTCAAGACACTTGCCACCAAGCCTTACGACCTGAGTTCAATCCCTGGGAACCCACATGGTAAGAGGAGAGCCTGGAGAGACTCCTAAAAGTT